ATTTTGCCTTTTTTGCAATACCTTTTTCTTGCCTTTTCCTGCCTTTTTCGCTATTTTGTTTTGCCTTTTTTTGCCTTTTTTCCAATACCTAGTGCCTTTTGCTGCCTTTTTCGCTATTTTATTTTGCCTTTTCCAGCCTACTTCGTTACTTTATTTTGTCTTTTTTATAGGTTTTTAGGTCCTAAAAATCCGTTCCCTGGTTATGAGCTACTGAGTAAGTGACAACGGCGAAACAATGTTTATATTGTGTTTTAGGCGCAGTAATTGTGACAATAGTCATATGATGAATTTTGTCAGTGTTGTGGGAATAGGGCGGTTAATTTGGCGTCACTCTAGATGGCGCCACGTTTGACTTAGGGATGCAAGTAAAAAAAAAACATCGACTTTTTTCTAATGCATCGATGTATCGTATATAAAAATCGATATTTTCGATGCATCGAATAAATTGAAAACATACAAGAAAATGGAACAATCGGACTTACAGCCCTATTCCGGTTTTGCAATAGAATGACAATTGATCATCCTTCATTGTCGTGATTTTGTCATTGTCGTTGCACGTTGCTATTCCTAACAAAAAATGACATGGTGAAAAGTTCATTGTTGTAGAAACAGCTGGTCAACGCTATTATTTGCAAAAAATATGAGCGGTGAAACACCAGAAAAGTGAGTATTTGTGTGAAATAGATAAATTCGTATATTTATAACATTTATAAATATTTTAGACGTGCAAACTATGAGCGGACGACGCAGGAGCAGCTGCAATTTTATGTGAAGTTTTGTAGGGAGCATCCGGAGCTGCTCGTCTTCCACAAGCACGGTTGCGCAAATAACTAAAATTTGTTCTGCCATTGAAATTAGTTGATTTTTATATTTTTTCACAAATTTATTAAATCGTCGCACTTTTTAAACCAACACAAACATATGTTTTTGCCTTGTCACCTGCCCAAAAGGTCATGACAATAAAAATGACAATTGGCATGATTCGAGCTTTTGAATTTTGCTGCGAATACCAAAAAGCTGCAATTGTCATTTTTATATCAATTGTCATCGCGGTGAGTTTTGTCAGTGTGGCGGAATAGGGCTGTTAGATAAATTATTAAGTATTAACTCAAAGTGAAATATGTTTATTGATTTAAAAGTTGCAAATCCCATTTATAAATATAAATTCATGCACCGGTTATGAAAATCGATATTTTCGATGCATTGAATGAATTAATAAAAATGTGCAAGGAAATTGAACAATCAGAACTTCGATAAATGTTTAAGTATAAACTCAAGGTGAAATATGTTTATTGATTTAAATAGTTGCAAATCCCATTTATAAAAATAAATTCATGCACCGTATATGAAAATCGATATTTTCGATGCATTGAATGAATTAATAAAAATGTACAAGGAAATTGAAAATCGGAACTTCGATAAATGTTTAAGTATAAACTCAAGGTGAAATAGATTTATTGATGATATAAAAGTAAAGATAATTAATTGTCTTTGAATTGTCAGCAATACTCTTCTAATCGGTCAATCGGTTTCTTGGTATTCTTATAAGCTGCAAAATCATATTTATAATCTAAAAGACATTAATACAATGAATACAATACAATAATTTAATACAAAATGTATATTTGGTGAACATTCATTCGCATCAGCTGTCAAATTGAAATATATCGATGTATATTGAAGAGAAAATACAATGGTTTTATTCGATGATTCGAATAGCAAACATCAATGTTTCCAATGTGAATACTTCCAATGGTCGCCTTTCGCACTCACCTCTTTACACAATGTACACTTTGTTTCCGCATAAAGGAAAGGTTTTTGTTTCCGATAAGAAATTCAAATATTTTTGTGTTTATTTGTGCACCACAATTAAAGTTAATTTACAAAGCGTTTTTAGAGTTAACTCTTGTATGAATCATCAAATGCTAATGCTAAATGGGCGCGTGCGCGATGTCCGACGTTTTTGGCTGAACTGACTGGTCTCTCATTTGGCCCGATGATGGGAAGCGGCCGTGCGCGCTCGTTAATCATTTTTCGACTTCACACTGCTGCGGCCACAGGATGCCCGCACGGCCGCTGAATTAAGTTTAAGCGGCGGCTTAAACACAATGTATCGATGTTTTTGTGCATGGATGTTTTTGTGCATCCCTAACTTGCCCCATTTCAATTCTGCAAATTTGCTTGCGTTTATTTTACACAGGTAAGAATATTGTGAAAATGTATACTATTAGCGTTATAAAAGTTTGGTTTTTTACAGCAGAGTCGATAATTTTATGCGCCGTATACACTTTGAGTTTGCTTACTGAATTTTTCATACATTATTACTAACAATGAGCCCAAGTATTGTGTGGCAGTACTACGATAAAAAAGAAAAAGGAATTGCGATCTGCGTAAAGTGCGGGAAATGCTTTAAGTACCACAGCAGCACAACCACGTTAAAAAACCACGTAGAAAAAGTACACAAAATTAAAATGGAGCTAAAGGAATTTAATTTATATATTTCAATACCGAAAATTGTTCCATTTATTTATAGAAAACTGGCATCATTGAGCTTGTGGACAACGATGATGACAATGAGGTATGAGTTCCCTAGGGTTTCATTTGTAATACATATTGATACTTTTCTGTTCACACAATTTTTTAGCCGAATCAAAAGAAGTCTAAATCTGTTTACCCAATACGAAATTCCTTTGAAAGAGCAGTATCATTTTCTGGTGTGTATGCATTAAAGAAATTTTACATCTCAACTTTTAAAATTTATTAAAGTTCTGTAATTATTGTAATATTAGATAACAGCACCAAAGGGAAGGAAATTTCAAATGCGTTAATGTATATGATAGTTGTGGACGACATGCCACTTTGTACACCTGAAAAAAGGGGTTTTTTAAAGTTCTGCAAAACGTTGCAACCTACATATATATAAAGTGCCTACTGAAAAAACAATGACGTCAAAAATTTAAACAAAATATAGTGCAATCCGATTAAAGGTCAAAAACGAACTCAGTCAGGCGAAATCTGTATGACTGACATCGGTCATATGGACAAACTCTTCGACTATGCAAAGTTATGTTGGAGTAACTATACACTTCGTTAAAGGTTAGTTCTCCTTTTTATCTGCGAAAAATAATTTTTGAGCTAGAAAAAGAAAAAGTGGATGTGGTCGGCCTTCATCCATTTATTCTGAATGTATAAAAAATTGTTGATGCAAGTGAAAGTGTGTTAAAAGGCGTTAAAGTGGAATTTTCAATAACGTGGATATGGTTGGAAAGATAATTAACAGACCTTTAATCTGATATGTATATCATATATATAATACATACATACTTCGGGAATAACTAAAAAGACCAAATTATAACCATTTTTTAGTAAAAATGTATGTGTTTCTAAAAAAATACGTAATTAACTGTAATAAAAGATATCTTTATCAGAAAGAGTATAAAAATACGTTCAATTTGATATATGATTAGTAATAAAAAATGTTCAATAACTAAAATAATAAAATTATATATCAAATTAAATGTATTTTTATACTCTTTCTGGTAAAGATATCTTTTATTACAGTTAATTACGTATTTTTTTAGAAAAACATACATTTTTATTAAAAAATGGTCATAATTTTGTCTTTTTAGTTTTTCTCGAAGTATGTATGTATTATGTATATGATATACATATCAGATGAAAGGTATGTCAATTATGCTTCCAACCCTATCCACGTTATTGAAAATTCCATTTCAAGATTTTCGATTCGTACGAAAACAAGAATACGCTCCATTGTATTTTTTTTTATAAATTTTAACAGAAAACGATATGGTTTGTGTGGAGCTTGGGGCTTTTCCAGCTAATTTTAAAAAAGACATAGCAAACCTTAAGGAAAAACTTCGTGAAATAGTTAATAACTGGGGCATCAGCGATGATCAGATAATACCATTTGTCACTGACGGAGGATCCAATATCAAAGGCGCAGTGAAACAAGAATTTGGAGAGTCGAAGCACGTCACCTGTTTTGGTCACACTATCAATAACATTGGTCAAGCGATCATTCAAAATAACAATGACGATGCTATCGACGATGATGAAAACGAAACGGAAGGAGGCACGCTAAAGGATCTTTTAAAAAAGGTAAAGAAAATAGTAAAGTTTTTTCGAACGAGCGAGGTGGCTGCGAAAAAGTTGAGAGATTACCAAAAAAGCAACGGTCAGTCAAACTTAAAGCTGATTCAAGAAGTGAGAGCAAGGTGGAACTCTTATTTTGAAATGCTGGAACGTTTTATGACATTGTCTACATGTATTGCACAAGTAATTCTTCAGCTACAAATGGATAAGAACACGAGGGCCCGCACGCCTAATATGGTCACTGCTGAAGAAGTGGACGCTCTTAAAGAAGTAACGGATATTCTTAAGCCTTTGCATGAAATTACAAGTGAACTCTGCGTTAAAAAAAATGTAAACATAAGCAAGTGCATTCCATTGGTTGCAGGATTAAAAAAGGTTAGAGAAATAATTAGTAAATTGTTTCTAGAGTCATTTTGTACTTTTAAGATGACGTAGTAGACGTTGTAGACATTAACCAATAGATGAACAAAATGATTAATAATGAATTTGGCTGTAAATAAATCTAAATCTATATTTTACAGGCAACAATGATCATCGAACCGACTACAGCAATAGGCAAAATAGCAAAAGACGTCCTGTTGACCGAGGTCCAAAAACGTTACGCAAATTTGGAGGCGGTGATTATTTACGGTGTGGCAACAATACTTGATCCAAGGTACAAGAAGGCAGCCTTCGAAAACTCAATCTACTGTTCGCGGGCTGCTGCTTTTATTGGTACATTAGACAAATACCTATTTATCAGAAACAACTATTTCTGTTTTTTAAACTTTGAATAGGTAACTTATTAATAACCAGCCAAACCCAAAGTAATGAATCTGTGGAAAGTATCGCTGAGCTTCAAACATCGGACGAAGAAGGCATATGGTCATATTTAGATCAAAACATTAGCAACAGTCAATGCAATAGACGTAACGTTTCGGAAATAAATTCGGACCAGCTGCGAGCTTATTTAATCAGGCCAGCTGTTTCTCGAAAATTAAACAAAAACCCTTTAACAACTTGGCAGGCGTTGAAAAATGATTTTCCTTTGCTTTTTCCAATTGCCCAAAAATATTTGTCAGTTATGGCAATGTCAGTCCCATGTGAGCGACTATTTTCACATGCTGGACTTATAGCAACCCAGTTGAGGAACCGTCTCTCACCCGAACATTTAAATATGTTAGTATTTTTGCGGTCAATTGAGGAAGAAATGTGGGACATATGAGGCTATTAGCGCAAGACTTGGTCTTGGTCTGTACAACCACTCTTACAGTGGCCGTAAAAATAATAGCACTTTAATATTTGGACATGTTTTGACTTAATTTTAAAATATTATATATGTAAAATTCAACAAAATTTCCAAATAAAAAAAGAAGTTGGGTTGGCAGTTTTTGTTTGGTTTTTTACAGCAGAGTCGATAATTTTATGCGCCGTATACACTTTGAGTTTGCTTACTGAATTTTTCATACATTATTACTAACAATGAGCCCAAGTATTGTGTGGCAGTACTACGATAAAAAAGAAAAAGGAATTGCGATCTGCGTAAAGTGCGGGAAATGCTTTAAGTACCACAGCAGCACAACCACGTTAAAAAACCACGTAGAAAAAGTACACAAAATTAAAATGGAGGTAAAGGAATTTAATTTATATATTTCAATACCGAAAATTGTTCCATTTATTTATAGAAAACTGACATCATTGAGCTTGTGGACAACGATGATGACAATGAGGTATGAGTTCCCTAGGGTTTCATTTGTAATACATATTGTTACTTTTCTGTTCACACAATTTTTTAGCCGAATCAAAAGAAGTCTAAATCTGTTTACCCAATACGAAATTCCTTTGAAAGAGCAGTATCATTTTCTGGTGTGTATGCATTAAAGAAATTTTACATCTCAACTTTTGAAATTTATTAAAGTTCTGTAATTATTGTAATATTAGATAACAGCACCAAAGGGAAGGAAATTTCAAATGCGTTAATGTATATGATAGTTGTGGACGACATGCCACTTTGTACACCTGAAAAAAGGGGTTTTTTAAAGTTCTGCAAAACGTTGCAACCTACATATATATAAAGTGCCTACTGAAAAAACAATGACGTCAAAAATTTAAACAAAATATAGTGCAATCCGATTAAAGGTCAAAAACGAACTCAGTCAGGCGAAATCTGTATGACTGACATCGGTCATATGGACAAACTCTTCGACTATGCAAAGTTATGTTGGAGTAACTATACACTTCGTTAAAGGTTAGTTCATCCTTTTTATCTGCGAAAAATAATTTTTGTAGTAATTTGTTTTTGGCGGAATATTTTCACTTATCAAAAACTGGAATCACGGGATATATAAAGAATAGAGCCCGTTGAGCTAGAAAAAGAAAAAGTGGATGTTGTCGGCCTTCATCCATTTATTCTGACGGTATAAAAAATTGTTGATGCAAGTTNACTGACATCGGTCATATGGACAAACTCTTCGACTATGCAAAGTTATGTTGGAGTAACTATA